ACCCAGCGCAGCGTCTTCCTGTCTAAAACTATACTATACCCAGCGCAGCGTCTTCCTGTCTAAAACTATACTATACCCAGCGCAGCGTCTTCCTGTCTAAAACTATACTATACCCAGCGCAGAGTCTTCCTGTCCAAAACTATACTATACCCAGCGCAGCGTCTTCCTGTCTAAAACTATACTATACCCAGCGCAGCGTCTTCCTGTCTAAAACTATACTATACCCAGCGCAGCGTCTTCCTGTCTAAAACTATACTATACCCAGCGCAGAGTCTTCCTGTCTAAAACTATACTATACCCAGCGCAGCGTCTCCCAATCTAAAACTCAACAACTACATCCAGAGTCTTCCTGTCTAAAACTCAACAACTACACCAAGCGTACTGACTGAGTACACTCTTGATTTTGTGTTTGAACGTAATATTATAGCACGAGTCCGTACATTATCAAGACTAGACCAGGCAATCCAGTGACTGACCTAATGAGCATTGTTCCACTCAAATAGGATACCAAGACATACAATCAACAATGCCCGAGCAGCCAATCTCACGACCAGCGGTAGTGCGTACGTGCCTGGCAACCACGGAAACGCTACGGTTGATGGACGTTTTACGCACTATTTTGCTTATACCTCTCGTACCTGCTGAATCATGCTTGCATAGTTAAGCCAATTTCTGCTTCGTAGCGCCAATGAAACATGAATCAAGGGGGCTACCAATGTTCAGCATCACCAGACCATTACACTGAACGTACGCTGACCCTCCCAGGTTTCAGAAGCAGTTAAATAACCTTTTCAGTTGGGGCAGTTTTCAAATTACATACTTTGCAGGCCATACATGTCTATAATGAACATGCCAAGAATATAAAGAGACAGGTCATTCTAAATTCTGTTATATCCATTGAATTTATCTCGATACGAACATTTCGGCAATACCCAACCCTAGCCGTAACCACATGTACTTCTCGCAGCCATAACTGTAATGCTGTAGTCCAACTAGACTTGCATAAGTCTCTAAAGTAATGATTAATATTTATTTTAAATGATAATTTCTAAAAAATACAAATATCCCTCTAACAGACTGGTGTCCTAAGATGTCTCGACCTGCCCCTTTGAAGGATAAAATTACTATACATCCACAGGCTTAGCCTTCAGTACAGAGGAGCAAGGTTATATATAGCAAGTTTATAGCCCAGCGTGAAGCTTATTTTGGATTGTATGTATTTACAGAGACTTGTCTTCAGTCTAGTCTATATGTCCTCATGACGGAGAACTATTTCGGTCATAGATGCAGCTGTTCATGTTGTAGTTATTTTCGTGTTTCGTGTCTCCTCTAACCCGTGATAAACTGACAACGCGTTGGCTTCCTGTGTCTGCGCCAGACGTTTAAGTTCAACACACATGTGAAACAATGTGACCCGTATTGTCAACATGTTTGTTCATACATTACCAAAGGACCGTGAAAACAAACACATCTATATTTTTCTCCCAGTAAACTCTTAAACAGCTTTCACTCAACAGTTTAACCAAAACATGTTTTGTTGACAATGATGTTAATGTCGATTTTGTGAATTGCCTTTGATGAATGTATGTATTAAAATATTCCTATCGGGATGGCTGTTGATGCCTAGGTTCCTCTGTACGACACTGCGTGACGTTAGGATTAGTGTAGAAACTTCTCGTATTTTTAGATGTCGTGCTTATATAGTCTTTTGAAACTGTTTTTGTCGCGAGCATGTTCATATGTGTTGGGCACGCCGCCTACATCCATTTGTGATACAATGATGGGCGAACCAGATGCAGAGACACGCATCATTCGTTTCAAATACCCAGGAACACCTCGTCCATGACCGAGGTGTAGCCTATTCTGTAAAGGGAGGCTATTCTGTTCAGTCATGGTCGTGACTGGGCGTCGTCCCTATTGTATAACCATCCGTACCTCTGACCTTTCACCTTTGACCTTGACAGGAGTTCAGTCGTGAAACAGTCAAACCGGTGTTGGGAGATGGTGGGGTGTGGTTGTGAGGGGAGACACAACTGCGTCTTAACCTGAACTTTTTTAGGCTAGAGATCATGTCTGTAGATAATAGCCCTAACCAAACATACCTGTCAAGCTTTGATATCGGCTAATCTGATCGAATATAGACAATCATAATCCACCTTAGAGTATTTCGGATATTCGATTGCGTGTATGAATTTAGTATATGTTCTATAAGTAGTTCACGGATATACGTCATTACAGTCGTGTGTATTTAAAGCAACTACAAGCCAATCAGTCATTTGTTTGTTATTTAAAGCCGCTCCCAGCATTATAGTCGATCTCCCAGGTCCTGTAGAATGAACTGGAAAAGGAATCCAACTCATGGGCGGATCCAGGAATTTTGGAAAGTGTGTGTGTGTGTGTGTGTGTCAGGGGTGTGTGTGTGTGTGTGTGTGTGTGTGTGTGTGTGTGTGTGTGTGTGTGTGTGTGTAAGTCATCAATGTGGTCTTAAGTCATTTTAACGGGGGCGAACACACCCCTGTCTAGATCCGCCAATGCAACTCAAGATTGTCACAGCCTGAAAATAATCTTTGGTCTTGGCAAATTTTATTTGCATTAGATATGCATTTTTAAATACGATAACTTTACTATTTGGTCTAAATGTTCCATATAATTAAACGGGTCTGGACCAAAATAAATAGTGTGGGATATTACGTACAACATTGGATGGTGGGGTAGCGTTGGCAAAATGGTTAAAGCGTTCCCTCGTCATGCCGAACACCCGGGTTAGATTACCCACATGTGTACAACTGTGTCTCCCGCCGTGATATTGCTGGAATATTGCTATAAGCGGCGTAAAACCATACTCACTCATCACTGACTCACATACAACAATCGGGGTACGATGACATCCTATCAACTGGGTCACCGAGTCTGTTCACAAGATCTATTAAGTCGTTGAAAATAGTCTACCGCTTTCCTAAAACCAAACAAGCACTTTATGGTGCTAAGCAAGCAACATCATTAGTATGGATCTGGTTTCAAGCCCAGGAATGACGGAGCAAATCACATACACTTCATGAGACGTGTGAAATCTTGGTTTAAGACCTGGTTTTAACAGAACCACAGTACACACTTATTTGGGGTAATGTTGATGCTGAACGTCCACTGTTGGATAGGGTAAATAGTCAGTGCAGACACGGCAGCAGGTGTACAGCAAGGCGCCTTATCATTGAAACACTCCCACAGTGTTTGCATCAGATGAATATAGGGCTGCATGTACATATACAAATATTGTAGAGGGGGGATAGTGAATGCTGAACGAGCGCACGTTTGCGAGTTGTATAAACAGAGTATCATTACATTTGCCTCGGGCGTACGGATCCATATACAGCTCAGTTCGTCGTTTCACAGTAGTACGTATTCCCTAACGCGTGGCTTTAAAATACATGTATGCGTGTAGATTATATCTACAGGAATCATTGATAACACCCACAGTCATCAAGTATGAACGCACTTGTTATGTTTCATGCTTATTAATTTTTTTGTCCGTGTCAATATACCTTGGAACGGTTATATAAGTAGTTATCGAATGTTCTTGCCAAGCGCTGCAAAATCCCAAAACGAGGCTTACATTGCCTTGCGTTTTTGACGTCATGTTTTTCGTCACTATTGTCCCAATTAGTTGTACTAACACCAGTGCAGAAAGTGAGTTCGAGTTACGTCACGTGGTAGTGTTAAGTCTTCCAGCTCTTGGGTACACCTTGCTGGGTTCCTTTAAGTAATTCATTTCATTATGTGAGAACGCGGCGTAAGGTCACTATTGGTAAAACTTTAATAGGGGAAGAACGTACTTTTAGAATGTGTGTTTTAAAAATATTACATTGAAAACTATTCTCCAACTGCTTTCCGTGTCATATCCAAGAGAACTTATGTACAGGTCGATGTTTGGCCGAGATGCAGACTTAGGACACGGATGCTTCGCAGTACTTTAACAAATACATTATCCAAATACGTGAGCCGAAAAATAAACACTGAAACGAGATATACGAGATGTCCTTGTTGCGGCTGCAGGAAATCGCTTGGTTTGGTAGTTGTGCCCCGGACTGGCTTTGTCGGCTCCGTTGTGACCCGGGGTCAACCATATACCAGCAATACAGGGGCTTATTGAACACAATGGGCAGTCGCATTGTAAGAAAATATGTCAATATTGGCTCTTAGACTGGCCTTAGCCCCGATCACGATCGTACATGCACGTCGAAAAGGAAATCTGTTACGTAAATATTGATTAGATTTTATTGTAATGATTTCTTGTCCACTTACCATTATTTTATGATCGTAGCATGTTTGTTGTTGTTGATGATGCAGTACTTGTCAATGCCATTTTCTTAAAAGTAATGGTGTAGGCAGTTCATGCTCTTTTCAAAGTCCCCCAAAATGGCATGATAGTGTCATAAAGATGTTTCCCCAGCATTAGCATGAAAACACTTAATTTACAATTTGATATATTTTATATCGCCGACAATGTGTAAATTAAATAATCCATTCTCTCTTTTTTTTTGTAACAGGATCCTGACAACTTAAACGTGCATATTTCTCGTCGTATTTCCGGGAAATCGTTCTATTACATTTATTAATTTATGCTCATTGATAGTCATTGATATTCAAGTTAACACATTACATTGAATGTTAGGTCATCTGAATTTCTGAAAGCCCTTACATGTCGTAACTAGTTTTGGGATTACGCAAGGATATATACTACGTCTTTGCGTTTTCGTATATGCATCAGAATAATCGTAGCATCTTACAACATCATGCGGAACAGGCCACACCCATCCATACTATAGCAAGATCCACCCCATCACGTCGTAAAAGGATGAATACCTGAATAGCGTCAACCCAAGGAGTCACTATCGAGAGACACTGCCTGGAAACAATCTCCTAAGCAGTTGGAGACAATCCCACCTGTCCTACCCCCTATAGTAAATCAGTCGAGGTGCCACTAAGGGTCTTATTATAACCTCTGAAACTCAACTCTCTGGTTGAATTATCCCAGAAGCCACCCGCTTGCCTGTTGAAAATAGGTTACCGGTTTTACCTTGCTAGTCTTACGCGCTATCACGCCTGAGGGCTCCCGTCTCGCCCAGTGCGCACACTAAAGCGGCTGAACACGGGTATCTGACAGTCAGTGTCGGGTGGGGCAGTGTACATTCAGCACGGATCTGTGGACGAGCATTTGGTCAACACCTGTGGGCAGGGCACAACGCTGACTTACTGTCGCTTTTCGGGAATCTTTCAGCGTTGGCAGTTTTCGATTGTGATAATAGTTGGATTTAAGTGTCAATGATTGTGTGAAACAAGACAAGGACCATCAACAGCCATGCCAGGCGTGTCTCTGTGGGTCTCGGCCCTTGTGGTGTTAATAGCAGTGAAGACATCAGTTCAGGTAAGGTTTTTACAGGTATAAATAGGTATATTAATTATTGAAAACGATACAGCTAGATTATGAACATGAGAACTATTGATCGGGCTACTCTTAGTATATATCTTAGTTACAGATATTGTACATTGATGGAAGAATGAACATCATTAATATGCTTGTTAATGATGTATGTTGTGTGTGGCCATCAATGAAACCTCAACATTCTCGTTCTGTAGCTCACCTTAATTGTTTCCTCGTAATACTGGGATATATTTAAGATCTTATATAGTATAGGATATAGTATAGGCCTGTTGCCTTTGAGTATTGAATAAAAATTGATTGACATCAATCGTAGACTTGAAACCAATTAGAACGCTGATGAAACTTGTATTTCTACACGTTGTAAATATTATCTGAACGTCTGTGCTTATATCTTATTGGAAGAGAAGATTTTAAAGGATACGTATATATTTACAAATAAATCGACAGAATTCTTTGGTTTGGCCGTTTTAGTTAAAAATGCTTCTTTTTAAATCTCCGGAAAATCCGGTTGAGCTATCTGTTGAAATTCTACCCACATATTAAGTAATCAAACAGGAAATTACCCTAGCATTAAAATGTGATTAATTAAAAAGTGAATCGACTGGATAAGTTTGTTTAAGGGTATTTTCTTACATGCCCGGTTAAACCTTTTGCGCTTTTGTCTCGAAATTCTAACTGAAGTAATCAAATTTCCAAATTAGCCCGAGGCTGAAAGACCGGACGCATTGAGCAACGCATGATTCACCAGTCCTAGCCCAATGTCATTTTGAAACCCTGAAGTTAGTTAAAAAACACGCACGGGTGTTTGTGTGCGAGACAATATCTGATCTTTCAAGGAATGGCCGCGATCACGCTATGATGTATCTCTTTCACTGCTCCGCTACTAGCATGCAATATCTTTACAATCTCCCAATTGTTCTTTAAAACCAGCGTTGAAATTGTTTGAATGCATATGCTCTGACCTTCTCGAATACCTGCACGGCTACAACATATTGTGCAAGGAATAGGGCGTGAGCCTTGGCCATGTCTCATTGAATTACAATGCCTGTGGTTCTTTTACCAGCTGGTGATGAAACCAGTTTGGAATTGTCTGAACAAGACATCCATCTGCATTCCAACAAACAAATAAGATAACTGAAACTGAATTTTATTGATGTGCATAGGGAATACAACATCATGATTTAGGGCGTGAGTCTAGGCTTTGTCTCCTTGAATTACAATGCATGGGTCTTATCCTTGTTAGTAATGAAACCAGTTTTTTGCGGCTGGCTGAACACGGCATCAGATTGCATTCCAACAGACTGTAGGGAATAGGAAAACTGAAATTGACCTTTATTGATATACATAAGGAATACGACTGATACCAGCATTGATGGCCTGGGTGTCCTACACCCTAGGCGCAATACAATCAAAGCGATCACGTCGGTTAAATCTCTTTACTACTAACTTAACTATTACCCTCCTAACCCCTTTCTAGAACTTAACTAGGGGCGGTGAGGTAGCCTAGTGGTTAAAGCGTCCGCTCGTCACGCTGAAGACCCGGGTTCGATTCCCCACATGGGTACAATGTGTGAAGCCCATTTCTGGTGTCCCCCGCCGTGATATTGCTGGAATATTGTTAAAAGCGGCGTAAAACTAAACTCACTCACTCTAGCACTTAACTAAGCTTTACAATCGTTTCATGTTTAGATTTCTGAATTTAATCTTCTGTTATGCTCCGATCAGTTGTCAATACATCCATCGCCCTTGAATTACAAATATCGATACCTACAGTGAAATGCTGTAAACAACCCAATACCACACATTGAGGTACAGTTGTTCTATAGTTAAAACCACGTTTAATCTCGTCCTACCAATCTACATCACCTCTCATTACATACCACCGCTGAGGTGTGACAACACGACCATACAATACCGGTCTTGTGTCCGTACCACACCAAATTCATTATTGATCAAATAAACCGACTGCTATTTGATCAATAAACTCACATTGCGGATACGCTGCAGGATAAAGTATACAGATAAGAGAGCTAGAAGAGGGGAGAAAATTGTTGATACATCCATGATACCATGAACCAGATTCACTTTACCCTGGAAAGTTGTCAGTCAAGTTTGAGACACGCATGCCTGCCTCCCTGCTATTTTAAGACACCACCGGGACACACACCCGGCTGCTCTTTACATCTGGACGGTTGTGTGCTGCCATTATCTTGGGTAGAATGGAGTCTGTCACGCTCACCACCGAAACTGACGTCAATGTTTTGAAAATATAAATACTTCGGAGTAGGTGTGAACACATAACCACAAACTTACAAACGCAATTGCAATCTTTGTATAGTTATTATAATCCGAACTTTATTGTGCAATTACAAATATCGGCAATCTTGATAATGATATATCTGTGTTATTCTTATTTATACGGGGAATAATCTATTCCTGAAAATGTTGATATAAATCATATCACAGCCTATGATGATGACCTTGGGAATTTAAATCAAATGTTGTTTCATCAATGTTCTAAAATTAAAGGCTTTGCTAAAGCTTTCAACAGGTCCATTGTAAACATGAACTGGGTATCTCCATATGCGATCACAATTAGTGACCACAGCTATATCAGATAAAATTACCTACGTTGATTTGTACCATATATTCTCGTGTTTTATCGAACAATTGACTTGCCTTCGCGTGTGTTTGTTATAGATGTCACGGGTGGGGAGGGATACGTTTACCTTTTTCGACGACCGCGTATGTGTTTAATGGCGGTTGCTTTTAGCAGTGATTTCGTATGCTTATTGAAATAGTTTTGTCGCCTTCATTTCCCCATAAAATCCATGTCAGTGACACTTGAATGACAAATGTAGCGATATAATGAACGTTGACATGTATTTAGGCCATAACAATTGTGGTCGAAGGAGAATTCCATGCTGTAAGTCCACGATGTAGTCACGCGAATAGAGCTTCGCCATCTTTTCGATCTAACCAATGTGTTCTCACACAGGGTCACAAGCAGAACGATAGCATCACAAGTGGCTTGTGCTCCCCTACGTGTACTCAATGGGGGACTGTTCAGGTCGCCGACAGCGTGTGTTATCGCTAATACTGAAGTACATATTGCTTTGTCAATGTTGGTATAAGGGGACTATCGCTGGCCAGTTTATGAAACCCACAGTAAAGGCGTTTATCAACTTACCTGATAAACTTATTAAGGTTCTCCTTTGGGTATCTGAAGTCCGAATCAGCATGTAATCGTAAACAATGAAAACATTAGAATCACATTAACGCAAAAGACTACTAACCATGGCCTTATGACTGAAATATACTACTCAAACAAGTTGAAGAAAACATGCAATTGGAAGGCTGTGTGTCGTAATACCCAACAGCCAGGACCGATTATCGGCACTCATGACGAATGCTATCTAAGCTTTTTTTCGTCGACATATTTTGTTGTTTGCTGTTGGAAATACCAACTTTCTCGTTCATGATGGCCTGCTTCCGTCGCAGATTAACGTACAACTACGATCCTTGCGTAAGTGAGTGAGTTTAGTTTTACGCCGTACTCAGCAATATTCTCGCTCTATGGCGGCGGTCTGTTAATAATAGAATCGGGACCAGACATTCCAGGGACTAGCAGCATGAGCACCGATTTACGCTATTGGGATTCGATGACATGTGTCAACTAAGTCACGGAGTCTGACCACCCTATCCCGTTAGTCGCCTCTGAAGATCAATTCTAACCCGGATCTTGACGGGTTTCCTTGCGTAAGAACCCGATAACGTAGTTATACAAAGACCGATGTGGGCAATGGTCTGTGATATCCATGGTGTTGATTACGTTATAGAGTGTAAGAGCATAGCTACGCAATGGCAGACACGTTTAATGCGCGTTGGTTATCCTACGTATTGATACGACCTCTTCGTTGGAACACAATAATATTCGTTACACAATGGTAGATACGGGTTATACCCGGTTATTATTATTCGTACTCATACGACCCCTACGTAGAAGCGCAATAACGTAGTTACACAAAGGCAGCTACGGATAATACCCGGTGATTATAATTCCTTGTTTATACGACCCCTTATGTTATAGAGCGCAATGACGTAGTTACACAAGGACATGTGCAGTTTAAGTAGCCTAAGGTAACCTCCACGCATCATTGGTGGACAAAAGTCTTGTTATCTCCCATCGGGTACTGTTACAAACACCCCTCCGTCCAAGAGGTGCGATAACATCTATTATTACACCTGTGTTGTACACACTCTTCAAGAGCTATTGTTACCTGAGCGGATCGATATTGTTTGAATGAAATATTAGAACAGGACAGTTGTGTTTCTGTCTTACGTAATCCTTCATTAAATTACCTGGGGTCAATCCACAAAGCGACTTTAGAGCTGCGCCTGTCCTATGTTATGGGAGTTACGTTCGTCTGAGCGATGCGATACTTTGTGGGAATGTGGCCTTTAACCTTGCAGTGTGACAAGTGTAAAATTCTACCTGACTTCAAAAAAGGTTCTCCATCAACTGTACAAACTACAAACTAGTAGTGAAAACGCATGTGTCCTCTTCAGAAAACAATAATTTAATTGTGACGTATATGTCACGTGTTACCTCAAGTCCTCCAGTCTTTCAGTATCGTTCGATTGCTTCCTTAGATACCGTGATAAATATGCAATGTCAGTTCCCTTCCCAAATTTCGACATGATATAAATGATGTATTTACTAGTATTGCTAGGTTTATTTAACAAAGGGGTTGTTATATGCGGGAGACAAAGCTATTTCTGCTGTATAACAGAGGGTGCTGGTTACAGCAGGGCCGGGCAAACCCTGGTCAACGTCATGACTCCCACAACGCCGGGTACAATGACAAGCAGTTAGCTGGTTCACACACCAGAAACAGCAGTTACACAATAGCCGGCTCTTGAGACAAACGTGGTTTTCCTGGGAATTTACCAGATGATGTAAGATGTTATGAGGGAAACAC